CCTGTGTTGTGAAGGTCTGACTCTTTGTAAACTGGGCTAGAAAGAAAAATGTATTTGTGACAGATGGAAAGAGGCAAAGATCGGGCCCAGAGTGTTATTTCCCAATAAGAATTTCTGGATTAGAACAGAGACTGTTAAGGGATGGTGGTCAGAAAAAGAGGGAGCCTCTCCCCTACTTTTAAATCCGTAAAGGACTAGAAAGGAGAATGGAACAATGAGCCCAGGACAACAGGAAACAACAGTCACTGGGAAGAGATAGATGGTCCCTCTTGACTTCCAGAGCTGACTTTTGTGAGTTCTTAGGAATCAACAGAAAGAAGAAGAAAAAAGAGGCAGAGGCTTCCTGCAATAGAGACGTGCACTATACTTTAACTGGGGATCCAGACTGTGCACAGGCCTGGGCTTCTGAGAAGGCAAGAAAGGCAAGGTGTAACTAGAGATCGAAAAAGCAAAAGTTTAAAAAGAAAATGTACTTGATGTGTACCTAGGGGTTTATTTAAAAACTTTTTTTTGGTATTAAGTTATATCTTTACCTAGACATAAAACAATTGGAATAAGTCTTTGCTTTATTTATTTAAAAATGCTATTTTTCTAGAAAAGGCAATATTGAAAGGAATGTCTGCTAAGCAGGAATTAGTTGTGTTATTTTGAAGGGATGACAAGGGAGGGAGGGGGCTTTGGGAGACAGCATTCTAGGCAAAAGGAAAGTATGTGCCAGGTGGCCAGAGAGCAGCGTGTGCTCAGGGCCCGGGGTGCAGGGCAGGGGGTGGGGGGATTCAGCTGGGCTCGCACAGAGAGGCAAGGGAGGGGTCTGGAAAGAGGGCAGTGGCTAGGCATGCATAGCTTTGTACACACCTGGGAGAAGGGAAGGGTTACGGGAGAAATGTGGAATTTTTAGAAATACGGATGTTAACTGGTTCTGCAGATCGGAGAGAAGCCAGCGTGGCAATTATTTAGAGGCCATTCGCTGATGGCGAGAGTTGAAGGCAGGGAGACAGAGGTTGCCATATTCTGAGGGAGAGGAAAAGGGCCCTGAGAAACACGCTTAAGCATGACACAGAGGAAAATTCAGAAAAGAGACAGGGACAGAGCAGAAGCCAAAGAAAACCCAGGAGCGTGGGGCAAGCAGGCCCGGGAGAGCGCGTCAGAATGCGGGGGGACTGCTAGGGCTAGTGTGGAGAGAACCCAAGGTCCAGTGACAGCTCTGGGGACAACAGTTGTGGCTGGGCAGACCTGGAGCAGGGAATGCTTTTCCTCTATGACAGGAGGAGAGGAGGCAGTTGGAGCAGGGTCACTTAGGATCTGGGTGGCAGGAAGTCAAGAGACTTCTCAAATGATTGTCACCATTTCTCTCAGAGAGCGAGGGATGAAACAGTTTGGTGAGAGATTTGAAATCCTCACTGTGCAGAAGGAAAGGGGCCGACTTCAAGATGAGGGACAGAACAACTAGCAAATAGGAAAAAAGGTATTAAAAAAGTACTCTTGGTGGACCAGAAATCTGGGGAATCTGAGAATGAAAACAGGCCCAAAGCCCAAGCAGCAAGCAGGAGCTGTGAGACCTGCTGACAGCCAGGTAGAATGCAGACCTCAGGCAGTAAACAGAGAAAGTGCAGAGGATGTCAGTCAGTGAACAGTTGGCACCCAGGTAGAGAGCAGAGGACCTCAGTCAGGGAACAGCTGCTGTACATCTCCTGCCTGTTGGACACTGTTCAAGCACTGGGTACTGCTGCAAAGACCTGAGAATGGAGGAGGGTGCACTAGGAAATACAGAGCAGGGCTTAATGACAGCTGACCACATTTTTATAGAAGCGCCAATCTGAACAATTTGTGATTTTTCTTCAGCTCTGTAAGAACAGAGCTGGGGTGACCTCAAGAGTTTTGCTGAGTGGGACAATGGAAAGGTAACAGGGCCGAGGGGCATCAGGACACTGGCAAAGAAGCAATTCAGCCAGGATGTTAGAGCGGGACTTGCAAATCACATATGTGAGCTAATTAGACTAATTGCTCAACAGCCATCACAGAGTTCTGAACTAACACTGGCCTTATAGGTCAAGGAGGGTGAAAATAGATCTCAAACTTTGATATGCATGTATGGGTGGGTGTGGGGGAGTCTTGTTAAAATCCAGATGCCAGACTGGGGGTGTAGCTCAGTGGTAGAGCATTTGCCTATCATGTGCAAGGTCTGGGTTGGATCCCCAGAACTGAAAGAAAAAGAAATCAAATGCAGATGCTGATAGATGTTGGATGGGGCCTGAGAGTCTGTATTTCTTTCTTTCCTTCTTTTTTTGGTGCTGGGATGGGACACAGGGCCTTGTACAAACAAAGCTTGTGCTCTACACTGAGCACCTCCCCAACCACCTATGCATCTGTAACCAACTCCTGGGTAATAGGTGCCACCGGCCTGTAGACCATTTTTTTAATTAAAGAACTAGTTTATTTTAATTAACAAATAAAAATTATATATATTCATTGTGTACAACATGGTGTGTTGAAACATGTATTCAACACATGTGGAGTCAACTAATATGCATTATGTTATATAGTTACCATTTTTGTGATGAGAACACCTAAATTCTATTTGCTTAGCCATTTTCAAGGACTGGGTACATTGTTATCTCAAACTTATTCTTCTGATCTATCTACCAAAGTTTCAGACCCTTCGATCAACAGCTCCTTTTCTCCCTGGTGTAGAAGAGTAGGGTTTTGTAAGATTTTGCTTTACTTCTGGGGAGAGCTCATTTGCTGTAGGGCAGAAGTTACCAGTGAGGTGCTGGAGGTAGCAGGCTGTTACACTTTCTGGAGTTCAGCAGCTGCCTGATGTGATAGTTTAAAATTCACAATGATGGATGGTTTTACACTACTGAAATCCACAAATCAGGGCTTCCTTGCTTCCCTTTGGAGAGCTGGTGGAAGACTACATACACCTATTTAATAGTGAGCCCTGCAGTACAATGGCTTCCTTGTCAGGGGTCAGGCAGCAAGTTTTAAGTCGGCTTCTGGGCTTTAGTCATACTTTGATAAGGAGACATCAGCCCTTGTCACTCTATCACATGAAGTGCCTGCTGGGAGACATTAAAGGAACTGGCTTATCTCTGGTGCATCAGAGTATCCAACAAGAGGCAAACACTCTGTACCACCCTGTTCTATAAGCCCCAAGAGAAGTGGGACTGTGGGAAGAAAGAGGGATAGAGGTGCTATGGGCAAAGAACGACTTCCTAGAAGTCCCCCCCCGCCCCACCTCATGGTGCAGTGCTTCCTTGGCTCTCTCTGGGCATGCTGCTTTTGGCGTGGATGGGCTGGGCCGAGCTAAATTCTCAGTGATGGAGAAAGAAACTGATTAACTTCCAGCTGATTTATTTACTGGCTTTTAAAATGGAGGCAGATTAAAAAAAAATACAACCTACACCTAATATGCTCAAAGAAAACTGACAGAATCCCTTCCGGTGACAGTTTGAGGAAGACAATGAAATTCCTCTGCTGAAAAAAAGGGAGTCTCCTATTTTCTGGCCTGTGGGTCATGCAGTTTCAATTTCCTCTTTCCTTCTTTTTTTATTCTTTTTAATTTCACAAGCCTGCTTAAGGCCACAAAGACTCCTGAATCCCTCAGCTGTCTGGCAGATCACTCACTACCATCTTTGCTCAGGTTTCTGGATCTGCCAGGCTGAAGCATCACAAATCTGACTGAATGCACCTACAGATCGGCCTGCCAGTGCTGCTGAGTTGCTCATTGGCTTCTGAGAAGGTGGCTGCAGACGAGGTGGATCCAGGAGCTCCCAGCCCCAGAAGAGGGAGGCTTCTGAGGTGAGCCCAGTGACCAGGCCCTGTTCCATGGGTGCTGCAGCTAGGCAGGGGTCCTGACACGCAAGGGAAGGCTCAGAGAGGGAAGTTCAGAAAGAGAAAAGCTCCTGGGCCGTAGGCCAGCTCCCAAGGAGCCTGGGCTCAGAGCCCGGGAAGGGGCAGAGCTGCAGGTGGGACAGCAGTGGCCTGAGGATGGATTATCTCCAAGTTTGGGGTATGAGGATGGAGCTGGCACAGTAGAGTTACGTGCCTGCTGCTCTGGTGATCCCTAACACGTGCATGTGTCACGGGACATGGCTTATTGCAGCTTCTGAGAGACTGGCTTGGGATGGGGAAGAAAAGAGGAAAAAGCCTAACTGCAGAACCCAGCATCTAAAGACCCACAGGAGTGAGAACCCCAGGAGTGACAATGTCAGGTACTCCAAGCCAGGCCAAAAATGCTCTAGTTTCATATTGCTGGTCCTGATTAGGACCTGCCCAGTGTGTCATGTTTCTCCTTACTGGAATTCTCTTTCCAGGTAGCATATGGGGCAGGGTGTAGCAGTTCACAGCAAAGAGTAACAGTGTCCAGAGGACTCAGGCAAATGAGAGAGGAATGCCCTCCAGCCAGGGTCTACTCCACCTAGCAAGCTGGGACAAGGCCTGTTGGGCAGGTACAAGTAGTACAGGGCTGGAGCCTCACTAACAGCACAGAGAAAGTGAGAAGTGTTTTGGAGAAAGGAGAGGCAGCAACCTAAATGACTTGTGTATGTATACGTGTGTGTGTGTGTGTGTGTGTGTGTGTGTGTGTGTATACATGCACCTGCTTGAGTAGGGTTCACTCCTCATCTAAGGATATTTTCTGATTGCCCTATGGATGCAGGAAGCCAAGCACAACCAGGCCCTATTGCTGGATTTTCCAGCTACAAGAGTACAGGGCCAAAGGCAGAATAGGGAAAAGGTGCCTGGGGGTTGAGCCAGCCCTGCCTGCACCATGTCCGCTCCTTCCCAGACTGGCAAATCAGTGCCACCTGCCAGTCTACAAAGCCTTGAACGTGACTGAAAGGCACTCTACCTTAGGTCTCAGTGCTGAAGTGCTCAGAGTGCTGACTACAGAACCAGATGGTAAAAACGGACATAGACCCCATCCCAGCCAATGCAGCTATACACCAACAGGTGCCAGTCATAATCAAGTCAGGCTAGAAGTCTGATAACACCTTTACCTGTCCCTGATCCCACGACGTCCCGGCTGGGTGACTCTGCCATGGCGTCAGCGAGCCGCTCCCGGAGGCCCTCCTCTGTGTGCTCCATGGAGGACATGTGTCGCAGCCCGAAGCCCTCAGGCCAGCTCCCACACACCTCCAGCAAGGTCACGCTCCGGTCAAAGGTACCTGCGGCACACATGGAACACCTGACATTGAGTCCATGCTTTCAGAGGGTAGGCTGTTCTTCTTGTCTATTTGTCACCCACACCCCTCGGTGTCTGGTGCCATTTTAGCTCTTCTACCATATGGATGAAGGGGGGACACTGTGGAACAGGGACACATAGCACAGAGTAGAATGGCTCATGGCAATGGATCAGAGACTGGGCCTCTGGAGAATGACCTCTATTTCACTGAGGAGCATGGTTTTAAAACTGTGTCTGAGGGGGCTGGCAGAGTGGCTCAAGTGACAGAGCCCCTGCCTAGCAAGTGTGAGGCCTTGAGTTCAAGCCACAGTATTGCCAAAAACAAAACAAAAAAACCTGTGTCTCAGGACTGACAGGGCTCCTCTGGTCTTCAGAGAATGCTTTAAGAATTGGGACGAAGGGAGGGACTCCCTACCCAGGTTCAACCCAATCATCTCTGTCCTTCCCGATTTCATGCAATGGGGCTCCACCTAAAGTTTCACTTAAAGAAGGGGTTACATAACCTAAATTAAAAAAAAAAAGTCAAACCCCCAAAATTTTCTAAACCATGTTCATAACCTCTCCCCAAACTTATCTACAGTTGAAATTCAGGGGCTGGCCCATGAATAAACAGCAAGTTTGTGACAGATTTGGTACAAGAACTCAGATCTGAAGGAACTCATTCCGTCCCACTGTAGCTGGTTTCCCAGCCCCCAGGGACATGGGCATGACCAGGGCATATTTTGGGGATACCAGAAATACAGTTGGGTGATAGCATCTTCAGCAAGGATCCTTCCTTAATCCAAAGCTGCTCCCTATTCCGAAAAAAGTACAAGATGTTCTGCTAAATGCCAAGATTAGATTTTTACATGCAAGATCACTTCAAAGTCCAAACTTAAATGATTCGACTTTATTTTACAGCAAGTCCACTGTGAAAGCTCATTTCATCCCCTCTCTCTTGGAAGGAGATTACAGTCATGCTCTGTTGCTTTAAGCATGTACCATGTTCCCAGCGATTAGGTAACTGAATCCACTACATTTATTGGGCTTGGTCACTGCCAGCACCAGGAAGATGAGGAAAAAATGCAAATGCCAATGTTTCCCAAAGTTAAAAGAACATGAAACACACACTCTTTATCAAGTCTTGCTTCTCCTCTTTGATCAGCCGTCAGAAACTATCTTCTCTCAGCGGGCAGGACTGGGCAGTGTCAGCGCACACTCTCTGCCAATGACAGGTGGTAATAGAGAGGGTGCGAGCCCCAGCCCCGGCAGGCGGTCCTGCCTCTGATAATGGCCAAAAGCATTGAGGTGATAACCGTCGGTAAACACTCTGACAGCCGGTGCCGCCATACATCAGCAGAGTGTGCCAGATAATCCGGAACTCTCCTGCCCAGACAAAGGCCCTTGGCCAGCCTGCAGGGACTTACATGCTTGGCAAGGGTCACTACTGGCTCCTGAATTTCATCAGGCAAGTTTGGCTTTGATTTATTTCTTACCTTCTTGTGGGGTAGATTCCTGACACTGGATGATGCACCTCCCCAAGAAGGAGCCCACCTTGGGAGTCCAGCGGGACTCTAGAATGGAGAGCTGTGCTGGTCCACCTTCTCTCCCTATCAAGTAGGGGCAGGATGTAAGACTGGGGAACTGGGCACTAGGAAGTGGGGGTGGGAGTGCTGAGTGTCACTGAATCTCCAAGGGCCTGGCCTGGGCTAGAGTCATGCAGGACCAAGGCCAGGGCCAATACTCAGCTAACGTAGGCAACAACTACTGGGAACCCAGCTCCCAAGGACTCTGGGCTGAGGACAGAAACTAAGCTTTTGGTTCTATGCCTACTCACTAAGGGATGTCAGGCAAGTCTCTCTATCTCCTTTTTCCATGTCTAAAGTGGAACCAACAACTCTCTGGCCCATCTCAGAGGAACAAGGAGATGGCGCAAGGTTCCCACCAGGAGTCCATGCTTCTGGTCTTCCCTGACAAGTCAAGAGCTACAGCCTCACTGTTTCCCTGAAGGGTCTCCTGGGGCACCTATGCTTAGGAACGTTACATAAGAGAATGACAAGAAACTGTGCGCCACCTCTTCTCTGTACACCCAGCTTCCTTATAGACCTAGAGGGTCCCAAGCCTGGACTCCTGGGAATCCTGGGAAAGGACTGACCACTCTTTCTCACACTACAAGAGCAGAGTGCCTTGAGAACTCCTGTCACCTTTGACCAATGCCTCCAGAGAGGAGCTCAGTCAGTATTTGTACATACTATGTTTAGAGGTCAGGACAGGGCAGCTGGCAGAAGGGACAAGAGGAATAATCTCAGGAGCCAAATCAGGAAGAAAGAAAAATTCAGCAAAATGTTGCAGCAAGTATGGTTCGGTAGGTGGGTGGGGGGTGTAGGGAACTTTCTCCTGGTCTCCTGGTTCCTGACCTAACTGGGGGCAACTGTAGATGCAGAAAGGAGAAACGATAGAAGACAGATATGCAGAAAGTTGGGGTCAGGTATGTTGGGCGCTCGGATGGAGACGCACAACAGCCTTGTTGCTTCTTTTTTCTAGTAACTCTTCTTACTTTGAGCTTCTTTTCTTCTCTATTCTTTAAGGCCTTACTTCTTCACTATTCTTTAAAACCGTGCTTCTTTTCTATTCTTTAAAGTCTCTTTCCTTAGACTTGCTCTGTCCCATGTTTTCGCTTTAGCTTTCTAAAAGTCGGAGCCCTCAGACTTGCATGGTCCCATGTTCTCTCTAGCTTAGCTTTTCTAAAGCCTACGTATAAAGTCTCGGTGCAGAAAGCTGCTCTGGTGGACACACACAGCCAGCAGCAGTGTCAGCAGCAGCCAATCAAAAATCCCCATCAAAAAACCCCACGTCCTCCTTCAGAGAGTCTTTTATATCCAGTGATAAACAAGGAGGTGGAGCAACAGTTCTCAGGGAGGGGCGTGACACTGTAACAAGAGAAACCTGTGCTCCTACTTCTCTGAACGTAAACATCTTAGGAAAAGCACCTGTGCTGCATTTTGCCTTCTCACTCTCTTCTGTGGCTGGGGCCGTGCCAAACTCAGTCTGTAGACCATTGAGCACAACTGTGCTTATGTTACATCCTCATAGGCTTCTCATAATCTACTCCCCACAACAGGGGAGCTGGTGGAGTGGCTCAATGGTAGCATGACTGCCTGACAGGAATAAAGCCCTGCGTTCAAACCCCAGTGCCACCACACACACAAAAAATAATAATAATAATGGTTTGGCTAAGAGTGTAGGCCCAGTCCAGGGCAGATGGTAAAGGCCAGAGAAGTAGGTAATTTGTTTTGTTTTTGTGTAGTCCAGGCTGGTCTGGAACTCACAATCCTCCTGTTTCCAACTCCCAGATCTGGGATTACAGAGTGTATATCACTACACTCAGCTAGCATGTAATATTTTAAGGGACAAAGCAATAGTAGGTAGGAGAAAAAGAATCGTGAGCTAGTATTACAGGTGGAGAATGGAACAGACCTGGACTGAAACATAGACTAACATATTAGCCGCGTAACTCTAGACATGAGCCTCTGATTCCTCATCCATGAAAACGGAAAGCCAGTGCAACTCAGAGTGGTGTTGTGGGGACTGAGCTAGATAAACAAGGAGGTGCCTGCCGATGTGAGCGCTAGCGCACGTTAGTAAGGAGGATGGCAGGCTGGAGTATGGCTCAGTGGTACAGCACTTGCCTTTCATGTGTGGGGCCCTGGGTTTGATCCCTAGAATCACAAAATAATGATAAGAACAAGAAGTATGTATATGTTTTATCTTTGGAGGCAGCATCCTAAGTTTTTGTTTGTTTGTTTTTGTGGTACTGGGGTTTGAACTCAGGGCCCTGTGTTGTGCTTGCTAGGCAAGTGCTCTACCACTTGAGCCATGCCTCTAGTCCAACCTCCTAATTTTTGACTATCACAATGAGCCCATGACAAATAAGATACCACTTTAATTTATGGAGGAGGAGCTGCAAGCTCTGAGATTAAGTGACATGTTCAAAGTCTTAAAGTGACAGATCTGGAACACGCTCTTAATTCTTAGTGTGGAGCTCATTTTATCATCTCCCCCACCACCTCCCTTAGTGGCACAGCATTGGCACCGGAGAACTGTAGAAATCACCTGTCTTTCCTAATGTGATTTGAGAACTCCTGTCACTTTTGACCAATGCCTTTTAAAAACCTTCCTACTCTCTACTCTTAGCCAGCCCAATCCCTTGCAGTATCACACTCATGATGATGAGTCCCCATCTCAGGTGAAAACAAACTGATAGAAGGTCTAGTCTCTCTTAGGACTGGTACGGTTGGGAAGGTGTGGTAGGATGTGGGAGGTAGTGAAGTGTCAGCAAAGGAGCACTTGATCATTTCCTCAATCCTGAGAAGTCGCAGAGGGGAACATTCAGGGGAGGTGGCGGGGAGAAGAAGTCCCAGAGAGGGAGCAATCAGTGGTCTGCTCACCCTGCTAGGAAGAGTTCCAAAGAAGTTCTGCAGTACCCCCTTCCTGCCTATCTCCCCACTCATGGCAGCCCCCTGGAACAGGACTCTAGGAGCCTGCCCATCCTGGCATGAGAGCAGGGCTGCAGATGCGAGTGGATTGGCAGGTGCTGGGTAAAGAGGCCAAGCCTTTGGAGGGCAAGGTCACTTTTGGCACTTAGGAAGCTGCACATCTTATCATCATTCACAGCATAGCTATCACTCATCTGGTCGGCCCAGAGATGCTCCCTCAGACAGGGGCCCTTTGTGTCCCATGACAAGGGAAAGGGGAAATACCTTTTTCAGGGGACAGAAGGTGCTCACCGAGTCAGGCTGTTGGCAAACCCAGGGCACATGCTTAGCAACGAAGACCTTTGGGAAGCAACACTCTGCTGGTTATAAAACGCTTTTACATAATTACTATTTCGGTTAACTCACACATTCATCAAACACTGATTACTGTCCACTATGGTAAGAGTCAGGTGTCATGCTGTTGTATGGAGAAACAACAGGAGCTAAAAATCAAAAAGAAAAGAGAAAAAGGAAGCAAGGGG